GTAATATATATAATATACATAAATTAAAATCTTTAAATATATACATATCATATATTATAAGTATAGTTTTGTAAATAACAAATATATATGATATAATTATAATGTTATAAATACTAAACCTTTTTTGCATATATATCCAGAATGGAGATTTCAAAATCAGTTTCTAACAAGTCCATGGCCTCTGTAATGGCTCCCAGACTCAAACCACTTGCCAGGCCATACCTGGCTGCCCAGCCCTGCCCTCATTCACCATGATGAGTCTCGGGCCCACCCATTTTGCCCATGGTAGCCTCTGGTTCTGGTCCCCATGTGCCGGGTCACTTGCCCTGGGGAAACCATGGGTCCTTCAGAGATGGCAGGGCTACTGCTTGCCTCTCAGGAACACTCAAGCAGCTCTCAGGGCTGAGGACCAGGGACCCTCCCCCCAACCCCATGTACCACTGGCCTCCTGTCCAGCCTGTCCACAGCACCCCCCACCTGCCAGCTCTGCTGGGGACTTTGGTCCCTGAGACCTGCCTGGCATCACCCTGCTGATCTGTCTCCACAGCTGTTTCTGCCCAGTGCACCTTTTCCTGGCCTTGAGGACTCTGTGACCTCGCTCCCCAGGACTCCACTTCTCATCAGCTACCAGGTGATCTGGCCCCTCCCAGGGACCTACGGAGGGGTTCCGAAGGCACCCTGAAGCAGGGAGTACCCCCTTTTGCCTTGTGCATGGAGGGAGACCATGTCCACCCCACAGCAGCATGCTGGGCCCCTGTGACCTGGGCCCCTGCGAGGTGGGCCAGAGCCCTGAAGTGTCGCCCACCCACAGTCGCAGAGCCAGGCTGAGGAGGAGGAGGGAGAAGAGGAAGAGGAGGCTGAGGAGCTGGGCCACACAGAGACCTATGCTGACTATGTGCCGTCCAAGTGTGAGTGCCTGGCGGGAGCCCCCAGAGTAGGGCTGGATGGGTGGTGTCCAGCTGGCCCCAACTCTGCCCTCTGCGCCCCATCAGCCAAGATTGGCAAGCAACACCCTGACCGCGTGGTGGAGACCAGCACTCTGTCCAGTGTCCCACCCCCAGATATCACCTACACACTGGCCCTGCCCACCTCAGACAACGGGGCCTTGTCAGCCCTGCAGCTGGAAGCCATCACTTATGCCTGCCAGGTGACCATCCCCTCCTGCCTCTGCCAGGCCCTGGGGAGGGTGGTGGGCAGCACAGGCCCTGACCCGCCTCCTTTGACCCACAGCAACACGAGGTCCTACTGCCCAGTGGGCAGCGCGCGGGCTTCCTCATCGGTGATGGCGCTGGTGTGGGCAAGGGCCGCACTGTGGCTGGGATCATTGTGGAGAACTACCTGAGAGGCAGGAAGAAGGCCCTGTGGTGAGTGCCAAGCTGAGGACTCGGGCAGAGGGTGGAGCGTGGACAGCAGACAACAGAGCACAGAGGGCAGTGGTGGACAGTGGAGGGTGGACAGCATTGGGCAGAGGGCAGTGGGCAGAGGGCGGACAGCAGAGGCCAGCCAAGCTCTGACTAGGCTGCTCCACAGGTTCAGCGCTTCCAATGACCTCAAATATGATGCAGAGCGTGACCTGCGAGACATTGAGGCCCCCGGCATCGCAGTGCATGCACTGAGCAAGGTGGGTGGGGTGCACCCTGTACCAGGGAGGAAACTGAGGCTGGAGGTGCCCCATCTGCCTAGTTCCTGGACCACAGGGAGTTGGGGGAGGGGGGACTGAGGTGGGGAGTGCTCCCTATCTGCCCGGCTCCTGGACCTGGGGAAACAGGCAGGGCACCTGCACCCCTCTACTGGGCCATGTCTGCAGATCAAGTATGGTGACAACACTACCTCGGAAGGCATCCTCTTCGCCACCTACTCTGCCCTGATCGGGGAGAGCCAGGCAGGGGGCCAGCACCGTACTCGCCTGCGCCAGATCCTGCAGTGGTGTGGAGAGGCCTTCGATGGAGTGGTATCCTGTGGGGCAGGGGAGCCAGAGAGGGAGGGGAGGTCTGAGAGCCCACTGGCAACCCAATTCAGCCCCACCTAGGCGGGTCTTCACCCTGGTACAGCCCCCCATCCCAGAGCTGTTCTGTCCAGATTTAGGGAAGCACCCACAAACCTCACTTGATCCCACCCCACCTGCTCTGACTCTAGCCAACCTGTGGGTGGTCACAGACACTTGAGGACAGGTTGCTTGCTGTGCACCCCAAAGGATGGCAGGATTCACTGTCTGACAATGTGGGACCATTTCCCCACCCTAGAGCTCCTCTAGGTAGGTACCATCCATAGCCACCCTGACCACCCAATACAGTTTGCACCTGTGGTAGGTGCCACTAGCCCCAGGACATGCTGGGAAGTAGCAGGGACTCTGGCCCAGGTTGCAGGGAGCCCTTTTTTCATTTTTTATTATTTTTTAATGTGTATGAGGCACCCATGTTGTACAGTGCCCACAGACACCAGAAGAGGACATTGGATCCCCTGGAACTGGAGTTACAGATGGTTGTTAGCTGCCATGTGGGTGCTGGGAACTGAACCTGGATCTTCTGTAAGAGCAGCCAGTGCTCTTAACCGCTGAGCCCTCTCTCTAGCCCCTTTTTTTTAAATTTTAATTTCTTTAAGTCTTGTTTGATGCAGGTTGGCCTTGAACTCCTGGGACCTCTCCTACTGACTGACCCCCAGTCCCTCAGTGCCCTGGGGGTTTTGTTGTTTTTATTTTTGTTTTAGTCTGGGTTTTTTATAGCCCAGGCTGGCTTCAAACTCACGATGTAGCTGAGGATAACCCTGAACTCCTCATCCAGTGTCCACTTCCCAAGTGCTGTGATGACAGATATTTGTCATCATGCCTGGTTTAAGTGGTACTGGGGATGAACCCAGGGCCTGGTGCATGCTAGGGAGCACTCCACCAACTAAGCTACAAGTACTCTGCCCACTGAGCTACAAGTACTTCACGAACAAACTACAAGCACTCTGCCCACTGAGCTACATCTCCTGGCCCCCCAGTGCCCCTTGTACACCCAGGAATTGTAGGATGCTCCTCACGTCCCAAGCACTCCCCTCCCCTCGGTTGACAGATAACCCCCCTCATACCTCTGGAATTCTCTCTGATGCATTCTGGGGCATTTGACTGGGGTCACAATCCCCCCATCCTTCTGGAACATTCCTTAACCCAGCGCATCCCAGATCGTTTTTGATGAGTGCCACAAAGCCAAGAACGCAGGTTCCACCAAGATGGGCAAGGCCGTGCTGGACCTGCAGAGTCAGCTGCCCCTGGCCAGAGTGGTGTACGCCAGTGCCACAGGTGCCTTGTGGGGGGGACTGCATCCCAAGTGGCCTCTGTTAGTGATGCCACCTTCATATGGGGGTGTACAGGCCCAGGGTCTGCACCTCACTTCTGCTTGGGACCTGGGGAGAAGATGGAATTTGCTGTGTCCATTCTGGCTCCCCTCTGCCTGGACAGAGGTGGGGCCTCTGGATGACCTTACACGTGCCCTCCACTTTCTCTATCCCTCTCTCTATCTCTGGTGCACACACAGTCACACATGCACACAGCCTCACACACACAGTCACACACAGTCATACGCACATGCACAGAGTCTCACGCATACACACACAGTCCCATGTACAACTTCCCCAGGGTTGCTTCTGAGACTGCACCCCACTCAGCCATATTACGATCCCTGTAAACTCCCAGCAGCATGGGGAGTTGCTGACCTCATGTCCCCACCTGCCCCCCCCCAGGTGCCTCTGAGCCCCGAAACATGATCTACATGAGCCGCCTGGGCATCTGGGGTGAGGGTACACCCTTCCGGACCTTTGATGAGTTCCTGCATGCCATTGAGAAGCGGTGAGCCCCTACCCTGCCTGGTACCCTTAGAGTCCACTGATCTCCCCCGTGGCCACAGGCCCTTTGCACCTGCCCTGCCCTGTGCTTCCAGCCCTTTCGCACCCTGACTGGCCTGCCCCTTGTGGGCACCTGACTCCTTCCGCAGGGGTGTGGGTGCCATGGAGATTGTGGCCATGGACATGAAGGTCAGCGGCATGTACATTGCAAGACAGCTTAGCTTCTCTGGGGTCACTTTCCGTGTGGAGGAGATCCCACTGCCCCCCGCCTTCCAGCAGGTGTATGACCGGGCTGCCCTGCTGGTGAGTAAGTGGGATGACTGACCATGTGCATCCTTGAGTGTGTGTGGAACAGTCCCATTTGCACACAGACATACAAACACACACAGAGTCACATACACAATCACAAGGTCACAGTAATGAGCACACACATACAGTCACATGTACACACAGTCTCACACATGCACACACAGTCACACGTGCACACAGCCTCACACACATGCACACACAGTCCCACACATGCACACACAGTCCCATGTACATAGAGTCCTGGGTGCACACCTCACACCTGACCACTGGTTTCTCTGGGCCTGGGCCTGGGCCTGAGGCAGGAGCTGAGTGATTCTTGGTCCCACTTGGGAAATTCTTTCCTTTTTTTACCCTTATTTCTGATACCATCTCACTGTGGCTGACTGGCCTCCCAATTCACAGCAATCCTGCCTCAGCCCTGTTCTGAGCAGGCAGGATCACAGGTGTGCATCCATACCTCCAGCTTCCACATGGGAGTTGTTGGGGATCTTGACCACTGAGACCCTTAAACATGGCCCAGACCCCACCCCACTTCCTGGACTGGGGGCACACAGGTCATGACCTGGAGCCCATGGCCTCTCCAGCCCCCAGGACAGTTTCCTAGTTCCCTCAGCCCTCACCCACCCCGTTGACCCTCACCCCCCCCACACTTGGCCTTCACCCTGCCCTCATCCTTCTGCTTCTCTAAGACGGGAGGATGGTGGATTCCAGTTCAGCCTGGGATACATAGTAAAGTCCTGTCTCAAAACGTAACAACAAAAACACAAAACGTGGTCTTCAGAGCCATGGTGACAAGAGTAGCCTCCTTGGGAGTCAACAGAGCCTTGTATGGCACCTGCCTGTGTGGTCTCCATCCAACACCCAACACTCTGGATGCTTGAGGCCCTGGGGTGTCACCCGGGATAGTACCACTCCCAGGGGCCAGGTCTGAGTACACATGTTCCACCTTGGGGACTCCTGTAGGGAGTATTTGGAGGCTGGAAGCACTGTTCAGCACCCCTCAAGGCCCAGGATGCCTGACAGAGTACAGCCAGCCCAGTGTGCCTGGAGGCTGTGAGCTCAGCTACCCAATAGGAACCTTTGTTGTTGTTTGTTTGGTTTTGGTTTTTTTTTTTTTGAGACAGGGTCTCCCTGTAGCCACAGCTGACCTGGAACTATGTAGACCAGGCTGACCTTGAACTCACAGATACGTCTGTCTCTGCCTCCCAAGTGCCGGGATTAAAGGTGTCGCTGGCCCAGTAGGAACCTTTTAAGCCAGGGCAGCACTCAGGAGGTTTGAGGCTAGAGGACCAGAGTTCAGGGTTATCCTCACCTACATAGCTGAAGTTATCCTCAGCTACAAAGCAAGCCTGGGCTCCATGACACCCTGTCTCAGAAAACCGAGAGAGACAGGCTGAGACACATGGTCACATACCCCTCATCCCAGCACCTAGGAGGGTCATGAGTTCATAGCCAGCCTGGGCTCTGTGAGACTCAAATAACAGAAAAGTCCTCTCACTGGCCCCGTGGGTTTTGTTTTTGGTTTTTTGAGACAGGGTCTCCCTGTAGCCACAGCTGGTCTCGAACACATTATGTAGACCGGGTTGGTCTCAATCTCACAAGGATCAGCCTGCCTCTGCCTCGTGAGTTCTGGGATTAAAGGCATGTAACTACCGTGCCTGGCTTGTTTTTAAAATATGTCATTTTCTATTTTTGATAATTTCATACATGAATATCATGTATCCTGGTTGTATTTGCCCCACTCTCAGCAATGCTTGGCTGTGGCATTAGTCTGTGCAGGTATGGACATGGCCGCCCACTGCCTTTCTAGGGTGGCTAGCAGGTGCTGGGCCAGATGAACTGGACCACACACTGACTTCCTTGGTGGCCTTTGCCATTGTAGTGGGCCGAGGCCTTGAGTGTGTTCCAGCAGGCGGCTGACTGGATAGGCCTGGACTCACGCAAGTCATTGTGGGGTCAGTTTTGGTCAGCGCACCAACGCTTTTTCAAGTACCTGTGCATCGCCGCCAAGGTGCACCGGTTGGTGGAGCTGGCCCGTGAAGAGCTGGCCAAGGACAAGGTGGGTGCCTGGCCATGGTGACCTGCGCGATCACATAGGTCTGGGTGGTGGGATGACAGGTCATGCAGGGCCTCTGGGGGGATTCAGGTGGACAGGAGGGTCACCCCAGAGCCTAGCTCTGCCACCCCATCCTGCAGTGTGTGGTCATCGGACTCCAGTCCACAGGCGAGGCTCGGACACGAGAAGTGCTGGATGAAAACGAGGGAAGGCTGGACTGCTTCGTCTCTGCTGCAGAGTGAGTGATGGGGATAGTGGGTGACAAGGACAGAGGGTGATGGGGACAGTTGGTGACAGGGAAGGTAACAGGCCTGTGATGGCCCTGGCATGGCACCTTTCTGTGGCCTGGCCCTGCCCCTTAGCCTGGGCTATATTACCTAGGGCTGGACCCGCCTCAGTCCTTGGCTCAGGTTTTCCTGTCAGAACTGAGCATGGGAGCCCTGGCTCTGGGGGGCTGTGGTAGACACATTGGTATATGCTGGGGTCTCAAAAGGTCCCCTTTCAATAGCTCCTGGAATCTTAGGCCCACCCCAGTGAGGGTCTTACAGCCGCCCCTCTGGCTTCCTGGTACCCAAGCCCTCCAAGGGGCCCGTCCTGGGCATCAGAGCATCTGCTACCCCAGAATGTGCATGGCCATGCCTATGGATGCCGGAGGCTGTGGCTATGGCTGGCAGTGGCCATGACTATGGGTGGAGGTGGTTGTGGTTAGAGATGGCTGTGGCTGTGGTAGCCATGACCGTGGGTTGCTGTGGCTGTGGGTAATTAGGGTGAAAGAGGCCATAGTTGTGGGTGGAGATGGCTGTGGCTGTGGGTGGAGGTTGCCATGGCTGGTGGTGGTGGCTATGGGTGGCAGTTGCTGGGGGTGGTGGTGGCCATGGTTGTTGGAGGCTGTGGCTATAGATGGTGGAAGCCAGCCCTGTATGTGAATGCTGAGCACTCTTCTGCCCTGCAGAGGTGTCTTCCTGTCCCTGATCCAGAAACACTTCCCATCCACCAGGAGGAGGCGTGACCGCGCACCCAATAAGAGGAAAAGTAAGAGTCCTGATGGTTTCATTCACTCTGCTTTGCACTGCCCTCTCCTATGCTATTTTCTGCCCCTGCCCTCATTCCACAGCCACTTGGGCTCTCTCTTGACTCTGGTATCCTACAGGAGCCCGGTGGAGGTCTGCTCGTGGATGCCCAGGGCAGCACAGTGTGCAGGGCTGTCCATGGCCCTGACAGGCATTCAGGGAAGTTGCAGCCAGCTGCCCACTAGCCAAAACCTGACTGGCTGACTGTGGCTCTAGCCTGGCCCTCTGCAGGCAGGCAGCTTCCAGGCTCCACATGGCTCTGCTAAGCTGTGTGTGAGTCAGCTGCATGTGTTAGCATACACCTAGGCATGTGGCTCACCTGTTCCCGCTTCGCCCCCCCCCCCCATTTCTAAAGCCAGGCTCAGAGAGGTCAAGTAACTCATCTTTGGACACATAGCCAAGCAGGAAGGGCAAAGCCAGAACCCATACCAAGCTCCATCCCCCTTAATCCCCAATACTCAGAGCCCCCCTCATCTTCCACACACCAAGCCTTCTGACCAACTACACAGTGTAGACCCCTGACTTCTCCCTCAAGGGGCTCTGAGATGCATCCTCTGTGCCATCCTCAGCCAGTGGAACCCAGAGCTGCCCCGTGAGGCCTGTCTGGGCTGACAAGAAGGATGATGGAGGCTGATGGTCCCCCTACTTCACTTCTCCTCACCACAGCACAGGGTCTGGGGGCTTCCATGAGGAAGAAGTTAGGGGTCTCATGACACACTGTAGTTGGCCAGAATAAGACAGCCCAAAATAAGACACAACCCAAACCCAAAGTGGATGGCACACGCTCAGCAAGGAGCCAGAGTGATCTGGACATCAGTTCTCTGGGTCCCCGCCCTAGGCCCCCTCACAGTGTCCACCTGCTCTCTCTGCACCTCAGCACTGCCTACTCCTCCATCCTCTGCACCCCATGGCCTGAACCCCAACCCTCCCTGTAGGGCGTCCACGGGGTCGCAGCGCCAAGGTTCCCAGGCTGGCGCTGGAGGCAGCGGGTGTGATTCGAATCAGTGATGGCAGCAGCACAGAGTCAGATGCTGGTCTGGAAAGTGACTTCAACTCATCCCCAGAGTCCCTAGCCGATGACGATGTTGTCATTGTTGATGCCACCATGCTCCCTACAGACAACCGAGGTGAGCCGGTTCATCTGGTCAGGGGTCTTCTCCCCTTCCCCACAGACACAGCCATGTGAAACCCTCCCCCCAACACACGCCCATGTTACAGATAAGGAAACTTGAGGCTTAGGCTGAGGTGCTGGTGGGCCTCTGTTCCCCTACTGTGCTTTGGGCAGTGAAGCCCTGCAGCCTTCTCTGACCCTCCACCCCCACAGGCCCCCTGTGCCACCCGCAGAGGGAGCTACAGGGCCCTGGTGTCCTGGAACGTGTGGAGCAGTTGAAGCAGGGTCTGCTGGCCAAGGTGCGTGCCCTGGGTCGGGAGCTGCCTGTCAACACCTTGGACCAGCTCATCCATCAGCTGGGGGGCCCGGAGCAGGTGGCTGAGGTGAGCCTGAGGGCCTGAGCAGGGTATGGCTACCCAGCTGGCTTAGGAGACCTGGCCGCAGAGATTTTCTTGGGGTAGGCCACCCTCAGCTACATAGCAAGTTTGAGGCCAGTCTGGGCTACCTGAGACCATTTCCAAAAAGAGAGGAGCCGGGCGTGGTAGTGACACACACCTTTAGTCCCAACACTCAGGAGGTAGAGGCAGGTGGATCTCCATGAGTTCAAGGCCAGCCTGGTCTGCATAGTGAGTTCCAGGACAGCTGGGGCCACTGGGAGACCCTGTCTCAAAAAGACCAAAAAAAAAAGATCAGGAATGGTGGCGCATGCCTTTAGTCCTAGTGCTTGAGAGGCAGAGGCAGTCAGATCTTTGTGAGATTGAGGCCAGCCTGGGCTACACAGTGAGATCCTGTCTCAAATCCAAAAAAGTAAAGAAAGTCTTTGGCCAAGGCAGGGAAAGCCCAGGGCTGCTGAGACCAGATGGAGTTGGGAGACACAGAGACCTGTGCGTAGGATTGCCCTACCGACAGTGGTCCCCCGGCTCCCTCTGTCTCTCCCTGACCACAGATGACCGGCAGGAAAGGCCGAGTTGTGTCCCGGCCAGATGGAACAGTGGTATTCGAGTCCAGGGCGGAGCAGGGCCTGTCCATTGACCACGTGAACCTCAGGGAGAAACAGCGCTTCATGAGTGGAGAGAAGGTGGGGTGGGAGATGAGGAGGAGGCCAGGGAGGCCAGGGGCTGCACCCAGCCCAGCCCTGTGTAGATGTGCATGTGTCTCTGTATGTGCCTGCTCCTACACGTGTGGGGCACCCTGTGCACTTGTGAGGTTCCCTGTATATGTGTGGGGCGCCCTGTGGACAGTGTCCCAGAGCTGGGCCCTGAGGCCCCCACACTGACGTCCCCACAGCTTGTGGCCATCATCTCAGAGGCCTCCAGCTCGGGAGTGTCCCTCCAAGCTGACCGTCGAGTGCAGAACCAGAGGCGCCGTGTACACATGACCCTGGAGCTGCCCTGGAGCGCTGACCGAGCCATCCAGCAGTTCGGTGAGACCCCGACCCCACCCAGGGCGGACCCCTGGACCCCGGGATCTCTGGCCCTGACACCCCTCCGCCCACAGGCCGCACCCACCGCTCCAACCAGGTCTCAGCTCCAGAGTACATCTTCCTCATCTCAGAACTAGCTGGGGAGCGCAGGTTCGCATCCATCGTGGCCAAGAGACTGGAGAGCCTGGTGAGGGGCTGGCCTGGGTGCACCAGAGCTGGAGGGCGGGGCAGGGCCTTGAGCTGGGACTGGAATCTTTGATCCCGATCACAGGGTGCCCTGACTCACGGAGACCGCAGAGCCACTGAGTCCCGAGACCTGAGCAAGTACAACTTCGAGAACAAGGTCAGTGGGGGTGCTGTGGGAGTCCCAGGTGGGTGGGGGCCACTCTGAGTGGTCTGCAGTGGTAGGCCTGCCCTGACTCCCATGCTCCCACAGTATGGTGCCCGTGCCCTCAGCCGCGTCCTGTCCACAATCCTGGGCCACACAGATAACAGGGTGCCGCTGCCCCAGGGCTACCCAGGAGGGGACGCTGCCTTTTTCCGGGGTGAGTGGACTGGGAATGGGGGACTGGACTGGTTTCTGGGCTGCTGGGGGTTACGGGAGGTGGAAAGGGGCGGGGGGGGTACTTGAGGGGTACAGGGTTGGGGGATACTGGAGGCACTGGGTCGGAGGTCAGCATCTGTCTCCTTGCAGACATGAAGCAGGGCCTGCTGTCTGTGGGTATTGGGGGCCGTGAGTCCCGAACTGGCTGCCTGGATGTGGAGAAGGGTGAGTCCCAGGGCACAGGGTGAGGAGGGGCCCCCACAGTCTTGGGGTCCCTGTATCCTGGACCCATGCCATCTGAGGGTCCCCACTGAGTTCATACAGTCTGGGGTCCACACATCCTGGGATCCTCATCTTGGCCTCCCCTGGCCCTGCAGACTGCTCCATCACCAAGTTCCTGAACCGCATCTTGGGTCTGGAGGTGCGCAAGCAGAATGCACTGTTTCAGTATTTCTCAGACACCTTCGACCACCTCATCCAGATTGACAAGAAGGAAGGCAGATACGACATGGGCATCCTGGGTGAGCATGGCCCAACAAGGACACCTTGAAGTGCCTGGGGTCCCCCCTGTGCCCCACGTGGGTTCAGTCTATACAAAAGAAAACAGGACACTCCCTCCCCCCCAAGTCCACACTGCAGACTTCCTCCACCTGTTGACACGGCAACACAGCATGATCACCTATGAAGTTCACACTTGAGATGTACACAATCCAGTTACAAAAACATTTTGGAAAGAATGTCAGTGTTAGCCTGGCATGGTTTCCTACACTAATCCAAGCACTTGGGAGGCACAGGCAGGCTGATCTTTGCGAGTTCAAGGCCTGCCTAGTCTGTATCGGGAGTTCCAGGTCAGCTGGGGCTACAGGGAGACCCTGTCTCAAAAAAAAAGAATGTCAGTGTTTTAAGTAAACTTAGGATGTTGAGTCAGGCCCAGGTGGAGCTGGCACGTGCTCCCCTGTGGGTGCCACTCAGTAAGACAGATGGTCAGGGCCACTAGATAAAGCTTTATTTATAGTTGAGTCAGGTGTGGTGGTGCACACCTTTGATCTCAGCACTCAGGAGGAAGAGGCAGGCAGATCTCTCTGAGTTTGAGGCCAGCCTGGTCTACATAGTGAGTTCCAGGCCAGCTGGAGCTACAGGGAGACCCTGTCTCAAAAAGACAAAAAAAACAGTCAAGTAGTATCATCATCCCAGCACTGGGG